CTAGAAGATAAACAAGTGCAGAAGCAAAAATAACAGTGACTTTCTGGCATGGTATTTCAGATAGCTCTGTACTGAAATGCTTGTGCTTCTTAGCACTCCTTGAACGTTATCACAGGTTCAGTAGCTGTCACACATTTTTTGCTGACTTTGACCTTAAACAGTGTAATGTCATTCATCAACAAAGCAGAAGAAAGACTTATTAGTGAAATATAATCTCTATGCTCTTAATTTTCTTCACCTGCAAACTGTGAAGCATAGGCCCACAGGAAATGGCAGTGTTTCATGCAGGCTTGACACACCATTTCATGGAAGTCTCCGCTGTCAGGAGGTACCGCACCGAGATGCTGTTGAAAAGAAACAAGCATGCAGCAGTTGAATGTTTGCTGCAAATGAACAGATTCAGCTCTAGCTTTAGATGAAGAAAAATAACTGCCAACACATTTTCAGCACAAGCATACGCTGTCCCAATAATTCTGCAACAAATATCAGCATAACAAAGACAGGAAAGAGCTTATCAAGTGTCAGGAGAAAAAAAAAAAATCAATAAATAAACCGTTCTGTCTTTGCTTATGGGCCTCTGTTTGCAGTCCCATATGCCTTCTGCTTCCCCAGAAATCTCAGTTCTATCTCAGTTCTAAACATGGTTTTTCTAAACATTGTCCTAAACACAGCTTATTAAGATACCTACCACACACTTTAAGCACCTACATAACTTTATGATTCCTTCCCTGTACGTATTCTAACTTTTCCTACTGTTCGCACACTGGAATTGAGAAGAACTGCGTCCCAAATCTCTCCATAAACCTCTAAGAAATGGTTAAGCAATCAAAAGCACCACCTGCTTTCTTCTGAAAAGCATTCTTACAAAGCTCACAGTATGCATCATAATATTCTTAATAGGTACATTTATAGAAAAGAATGCTGTGGTTTAACATCTACAGGAACTATAATTGAAGCCAATCATCCTTTTTTTTTTTTTTTTTTTCCCCCTTTGATCCTGTAACTTCAAACACTTTACTTTCTAACAAGCCAGTATGGAATTTCACTCATGCCCCTGAAGGGAGAAGAGACTGAAGGAAGCCCTCATGCTCACAATTTAAGTGGGACACTCACCCAAGTGCTTCGCTGCTCCTGACAGATTTTCCTGAAGTCTGTAATCAGGCACCAACAGTGCCGTTTGTTCCTTGCTATTTTAAGTAACTACAGTTTAAAAGCATTCTTCTGATTGACCTACTGAGGTAGGTGACGGTATGTCTCAGCAAGAAGCTTCTTATCACTGATTCTAATGATTAGAATTTTCTAATTAATGAGACTGATACAGAAGTCATTATTTTATTCTGCAGAAGGAACCCTGAAATCAGTAGTGCTCTTGTTAATGGTTTTTGTCTGGAGGGAAGAGCAGTGCAAGATTTAATATTCCCCTACGTTAAATGAAAAGAAACATCCCAGAGCATACATAATAATCTTTAAAGAATCACAGCAAAACTTCCCAAGTAAAAATTAACATATGGACTTACCTGACGCTAATTTATTTCTATGCAAATTCTGCTACTTATAGTTTCCTTACCCTTCCGTGGAACCAGTCTTCACACACTATGCACTGGATCATTTCATCTGGGATCTGGATGGATGGTCACTTTGTTAGCATTAACATCAACCTTTAGAATCTTCCCCAAGCCTCACACAACAGCCCTGTGCAGAGCAAACTGCGTTTCCATCCTCACCACCCGCAGTGAGCTGCCATTAATGAGCAGTTCTAGTCAGTTCGCTTCCCTGAAGTTAAACAGCGTGTGTAATTTGTCATACTGACAAGCCTATGGAACTCTCAGTTACTATTACAAAACTTGTTTTCCCAGTAGAACAAGGCATTCTCACAGAAAAGAGCTGAAAGAAGTTAACATGGTGTTGGTATCCTTCTTCCAGTGAACAGAAAGGCACGAGCAGGCAGCTGGGCAAAAGATGCTGACAGGTGACATCTGGTTTGTGTAAGAATGCCACAATCCTGACTTAGCCATCCACAATACAGCGTAATACAAACCAATTTGTTACAGAATGGTTAATTAATGATTTCTTCAAAGACACTTCTACACTTAGGAGAGATGAGTTTATATTATCCTTTTTCCTACTTAAAAAAACATATGCCTTGCTTTACTCCCTGACTTCTCTGAGCGCCAACAGAAGTGTGTGTACATAAACCCAGTACTGTTTTCACACTGCAGACAGAGGAAGAGCTCTGGCTGCCACCAAAGAAGGCCAGTGCTGCTGCTATGGGACAGACTCCTCAGGGCAGAGCCCTGTCAGAGTGCTGCTGCAGGCAGGAGGAAGCAGATTCTGCTCTCCTTTAACACATCTGTTTGTTCCACGCTCCAAGTGGTTTTCAAGATAATGAGAAACAAATCTTCTAAGGGAGCTGTGCAACTTTATAAGGAGGAAGTAGAGACAGCTGCAACAACATTTCATCCCAGTGCTGGTGTGCCTTCCTTGTCTGTCTTCAAGGCATAAAAATATTCTACCACTAGAAAACCCTGAGAATGGAATCACTTTATACTGCACATCACAACCAAAACTGATATGGGACAGAAAGGTTTGTAAAGCAGGATCATCCCCCTGGTGCACCCCAAGGACCACTCTGTGCACATTCTTTCTGCTTGAACGGCAGCTATGGAGGCTCACTGCTGGATTTTGTATTTCATACCTCATCTTCAGGATCAGGGTAAGGTCTTTTGCAAGTACAGTACAAGCCGTAGAAATTGTCATTGTATTTATTTCCTGAATTCACTTTGCCCTTTTCCTAGAAGTAAAGGAAAAACTGTTTCAGTACACAATGCAGTGAAAAACAAGACAGAACAGCTGCACAGCCTGGAATAATCCCCGTTCCTGTTCAGCGTTACTCCTAAAACCAATCACCATGCACACAGCTTGAACATCTAAACATCACCCAGAGACACCTGTGCCGTGCAGTGAGCAGAAGATGGGGCATACAAGGAATATGAGAAGTTGCTCTGAGTTAGAGACGGGCTGGGGGTCTCACTGCCAGGTAAGCTCCTCTCAAAACACAGCTGATACATGGCCAGGGAACCTCAGAACCGCACAGAGTTGCAGCCTAATGCTGCCATATGATGTTACTGCCAATGCTTTGTGCTACCATTCTGAGAAGGAAGAAGGCAATGTGAACACCCTCCTTCCATGATGTCTGTTGCATTCTCAGATGGATGCTGATGACTGTTGAAATGCTATGACTGATTTTGGACTGATTTCACACTAAGTGAGGAAGGAAGAGCCACATGACCCACTTCATTCACTCAGAGAGTAATAGTGACACTTTAAGACTATCACAGGTTTGCTGTAGAAATCACCTGCTGTCAGCTCCTGGCTTAAAAGCTATGGCTCTGCCCTGTTTCCACCAGACCAAACAGAGCATACACACCCACTGCTGCTTCCATGTTGTGTGTTATTGTGGAAGCTGCCCCACAAGCACCTCTCTCTGCCTCCCTGAAAGGTCACCAACTGCTGGACTACCTGAAGCCACCACTATGGAAGCACAGAAGAGTTCTTCACATCCAGCCTAGACCTGGTCAGACTTGTGGCTGCAGACTCACATTTCTGGCCTCACGCTGGCTGCAGGCATGGGCGAAGAGCAGGGAGATGTCTCTGCTGCTCTCTGCACGTTTGGCCCCAGGGTCTCCAAGCAGCACTGCAGCTCTCTCCCACTCACCCAACCTGCTGCTACATGCCAGCACTACGGCCAGAGGGAGGGCACTGACCTCCTGGGGCCACCACTCTGTCTCTGCAAAACCAACCTCCAAACTCACCGGGAGCAACTTGCACTGCAGGTTTTTGAACTTGCTGTTTCCACAGTCACAGCGAAAGTTCCTGAAAAACAAAAAACCGAGCCACAGAACGGTTTGGGCTGGAAGGAACATCAAAGCCCCCCCAGTTCCCACCCCGTGCCACGGGCTGGCTGCCCCCACCACATCAGAGCCTGGCACCCTGTCCAACCCGGCCCTGAGCAGGGCTGGGGCACCCACAGCTCTCTGCGCAGCCGTGCCAGCCCCTCAGCGTGAAGAATCCCTGCCTAACACCTAAACTTGCACCTCCCTTCCAGTTTAAAGCCGCTCTCTTTTGTCCTCTCGCTATCAGACCGCGCAAAAAGTGGCTCCCCAACCCCCCTTTACCTCCCCCCCCTTATCGGCTCCCCTCAAGTCCTGGAAGGGAAAAAAAAACGACCTCCGCACCTCAGCGCCCAGCACACCCCCTCGCGCTCAGCACGACCCCTCAGCCCCGTGCCGGTACCTCTTGGTGTAGAGCTCGAGGAGGCGGTGGGAGCCGTGGCACTCATAGCTGCACGCTAGGCAGATGCCGGCGGGCTCGGCGCCGGGCGGCGTGCAGGTGCTGCAGGCGTACAGCGCCTGGCGCTTCACGGCGCCCTGCGGGGACACAGCGCGGTCACGGGCGGCCGGCACCGGGACGGGGGTGTGAGGGAAGGGGGTCCCGCTCCCGGCCCCGCCCGCACCTGGGAGTAGCTGCACCGTTCGTGGTCGCTGCCGCCCAGCACGGCCCGCGCCTCCTTCTCCAGCTCCTCGTTCTCCGCCAGCACCTCCGCCAGGGACACCACGGGCTCCTCCCCCGCCCCCGCGCCGCCGCCGCCGCCGCCGCCGCCCCCCGGCCCGGCTCCCTCCGCCGCCGCCGCCATGGCCGCGGACGGATGCCGAGGCGGGAAGCGCGCAGCCCGAGCGCCGGGCGGCGCCACGGCGGAAGCGGAACCGGGCGGCGGGAGCGCGCGTCACAAGGCCGAGGCGCGTGGCCGAAGCGCGCCTCCCTCCTTCCCGCCATGGAGCTGGTGGCGGAGCTGCGCGCGGGCGGCGGGCGGGCGCGAGAGGTGCGCGTGCGGTGCGCGGCGGAGGCGGGCGGGGAGCCGCGCGGGGAGCTACGCGAGCTGCGGCGCGGGCTGGGAGAGCTGCAGGAGCGAGTGGCCGAGCTGCTGGCGCCCCTCGTGCTGGAACAGCAGCGGCGCGGCGCGGCGGGCGGAGCGCCGGGCGGCGGTGAGTGGAGGCGGCGAACGGCGGCGAGGGGCTGCCGGACTTGGGAGCCGCTGAGCGCCGCGTGTCGCGTCCGGCAGGTGACGGCCTGAAGGAGGAAGAAGAGGAGGAGGAGGACGACGACGATGAAGACGAGGAGGAGAACGGCGTTGACGCGGCTCGGGCCGAGTTGCCTCCTCCAAAGCGGACGAGGGTGCAGCCGCCGTGAGGGCGGCGCCGCGCCGGATAAAGCGGTGACGGCGGAGAGCGGCGTCCGTTGCCGCCGCTGTAAGGCGCCGTAACGGCACTGCCCTCCGCGCGGCCACGAACAGCGCGGGTAGGCGGATAAACGTGGAACCCTTCGGCGCGGCCCTGTGCGGCCGGGCTGCAGGCAGAGCAGCGCGCTGCGATAAGCGCCTCGCGTACCGCTGCTGTCCGACGCTGCCGTCCGCGCGAGCGTTTTACCCTGCTGACGCTCAGACTGTGGGAGACAAAGCGTCTGAATAAATTAAATACTGAACTGCCTGGCTTTATTTGAAGTGGCGCAAAAAGTTGGAAAAGGGGCCGAGTAAATAAACGTACTTCGGAGATCTTTATTAGCAGCGAAGGAAGCTGCTGATCGAAATGGCCAAGGCAGCGCTTTGTGCAGCTACGCCCGCAAACGGGCCGGAATGGCTCCCGCAGGCGATCCTTGCACCGTAATGAACGTTTGCAAGCGGTGCCGGGACTGCTGCGGCTTCGGAAGCTCGCTGCTGAACACCACAGGTCTAAAGGGAAACGCACCGCCTTTCCTAGCGCGGGAGTAAATGCGGGCAATGCTGCAGTAACACAGAGCTCTTTTTTTCTGTCAGGATGGACACAAAATGCTGCACCTGAGCTCCAGGAGAGATTGGTAGGCATTGGGTCAAGGGCAGTCACGCAGATCGTGCCTTTAAACAATAATTTGTAGCCCTTATTGCAGCCACAAAACTTACCAACAATGAAAAAGGTACCGGAGCTTCTCAGGGACTTCAGTAACCCCGAACTACGAGCTCGCTGCTGCCACGTGCTGTGCAACTCCTGAGCTGGGGAATTTCCTCAGGGCCGCCCCAAGGCAAGGAGGTTCAGAAGGCTTTGGTGAGGTTTGTTTTCTTGTCAAAGCAAGTCTCCTTGACTGCGGTGTACGGCAGTCTGCCGTTACAGCAGTGGTTTGAAAAACTGCATTTGCTGGTTCAAACGGCTTTGAGCCTAAATCCACTTCAGAGTGTAAATGTTCTAAGTTTAAAAAAAAAAAAAAAAAACAGTTTAAAATCATAACCGTGATATTTCTTAGGCACTGAGATGGTTTTGTGAGGGAGCAAAGAAAAAGCTCACAGTTCTACTTTGCTGCCAGGAGAAACATTCTTTGTAAGCAACCCATTTTATTGCAGCTCACTTGAAGGGCTGCAGCCATACCTTCTGCTCTCCACTGGACCTGCTCTCCCACAAGAAGAGATGAAGTGGCTCAGCAGTAGTCACAGAACGTGGCAGAGGTTTTCCTGAGGTAAAGTACTGTCAGAAGGCAAGGCAGCTGATGACACTGCCAGCCAGGCTGCCCAGGAGCAATGCTCAAGCAGCCTGAAAAAGCTTTATCTTGTGACACAGACAATAAAAAAATGCAGAACAAGTGGCACAGAGATAAATATTAATAAGCCTTAAGGCTACTCACTTCCTCAGCAGAAAAAAAAGCTCTGAGTGAGTGCTAGGCTGACAAAGGTCAATTATTTTTCCGCAGGACTTCATTACTGCCTCTGCATTCACAGCTTCTGCGTGAGAGAGCTGTTCAAGACAGAAGTCTGAACCAAATCTTCTTGAGTTAAAAAGAGCTTTTCCACCTCTAACTGAAGTTGTAGCAATTCATCTTTCCCATCCACTTGGAGGTAAGGTTGGAATGAAGAAAAGTTCTGGTATAAGCAAATCTCACATCTGGTAAGGCTACTATAACTCACAGCAGTAATGCTACTGCTACAGAAACAGACTTGTGCTACTGCCATTTACAATTAAGAACCAATTCAGAGGTATCACAGTCTTTAAAGAGATTTTATAACTTTAAGCTTAATTAGCTTGTACACTACGTCAATTTGTGTAGCAAGCCACGATCTTCTGTGAGAACAAATTAGCCTTGATCTAAAAATCGTCACTGTAATCAGCTTTAATTTTACTACCTCTTTTACAAGTAAAAGCCATCTAATCACTATTTTTATAGCTTTTGCTTGCTGTCTTGGTGAGAGACTTCACCTGTTGATGTTCCACTAGTGCCAGAAATGCTGGAAGCACCAGCAGAGGAAAATTCCTTTTTCTCCCAGCGCTGTCAGCTACTAATCCCTATGCACTACATTAATAGGTTATACTGTTAATAGGTTATTGCTCCTTCCCACCCTAAGCTCAAACCTTTACAGGTTTGAACTAGTTCACACATCTTTCTGCAGTTAGTTGTGAAACTCACTGCTTTCAGACAGCTTTAATTAAAAAGTTCAGCGGAAAATTCTATCAACACAAACCAGTGTCTGTGAGGCACTGCTGCAGGCAGCACGTGCTCCGTATCCCGGCCACGTGGTTCTTACTTCATTTTCCATTTTTGGTGCTTCCTCTTCTATTGTTCTCGTCTAAATAACTAACATTATAGCAACTTCTCAGTTAAAAAACAGCATCAAATAAAAGAAAACCCCAGACATGTCCATGTTATGCACAAGTAGAGAAATGGCAAAAGAATCAGTCATCCAACCAGCCCCAACAATTCAGGCTACAGCCAAGGAATTGGGACGCAGCAAAAAGACAACACAATCAACCAAATACACACTCTAAGGGATAGAAAGGACAGCAATGAGCAACAGCCACTGAATGCCAGCACTGCTATCTAAGAACAAAGGTACACAATAAAACACCATTAACATATCTCTGCATTAACAGACTTCTGTTTATAAACATTGAAAAGTTTTTTATTTTATAGATAAATAAGATGGTGATCTTTAGAGTTAAGAAACAACACAACTTAAAAGCTCTGACTCCAAAAGACAGGAGCAGTCAGAGTTTATTCTTACTCCAGCATATTAAGATGGCAGCTTCCTCCTTTTCATATTGCACTTTGAACTTAAAAACCTTCTTGTAAAGGCTACATCGTGTTTTTAGGTCCTAGCACCCCTGCTGGCATCTGAGACCACAGTCTACAAGTATCTCCAAATGCAACCAATGTTTAAGGTGCTGTAACCACCACCCTTGAACACAGCAACACATTCTTTCCAAAGCAGGAAACAGATGATAATGTCCAAGATTCCCTTAAAGTTGTCAGAACTGGATTAGCATCTGTGATCGTTAGGTACTGACAATCACGTACAATCAAATAAAAAAAAAGAAAAGATAAGTGAGAAGTTCAGTGCATAACTGTTTTGGGCCTACTGCTTTTGAAGTCCATATTTTGCAATGTTTTCACAATCAGAAGGTTACTTCCATCATGGCTCAAAAATTTAGTTACTCTAAGAAGGACAAAACACAGTCCAGTAGTCAGAAATAAATGTGACATCAAAATAGCACTGAAAAACAGGGTGAAATTATGGTAAGAAATGCCAATGGGATTTCAGTGTGACTGAAGAAAGCCACATTTCTTTCCAGAACAAGAAGAGGGTATCTTACTCAGAATTCTGGGAGAGATAGTATTTGTCCTACAACAGGCTTAGAGCACTCCCCAACTTGGTAACAGTTTAACTTTCACAAATGTAAAGTCTTCTTAACGCATCAGTACTCACACAATATGTTTTTGCAGGTCTGGAGAGACATTAGAATAGTAGAAAATTCCAACTGTAATTTTACCAAAGGAGATTTCTAAAGAAAGAAGAAGAAAACACAAAGCTTTGTGCTTCTTATAGCCCAACGCCAGCACAAACTGCTTTTGACACTGTAGAGAAGAAGTTTAAAGCACCTCCAGGTCTGTGCCACTCCTCACTGCCTGCCTGCTACCTGCTATTCTAGTCAATGGAGAAAAAAAATATATGATACCTCAGAGAAAAAATAGATATCTATCTTTCTCTCTTCAATGATTTGCACATTCTTTATTCTTTGCTTCCTGCATTTCCTAAATTTATTTTTAAAATGTGTTAGGAGCACTGATGTAAGTATGAATTACTTTAAAAAAAAGAAAAAGCAAAAAACTGTTCTAAGTGCAACTTCTATAATCATCTTCTGATCTTTTTTCTTTTACATTTTTCACAGAAGAATTATCTTTCCATTGATTTTACTCCAAGAAAAATGAAGGACGTAGCTTTTTTTTTTTTTTTTTTTTTTTTTTGCACAGAGGAGTAAAGTCATAGAGCAGAAACTTATTTTCCCAAAGAATGTTTCAGATGGAGTGTAGCAGTTCTGCATCATTAAGGCAAAATGAGGAATACTTCCATCATGTGTCACATAGAACTCCCCCACTCAAGTCATTTTGATAGACCAATACTTTAAAAACTTTTGGAATTAAGTTTTTTTTTTAATAGAAAACAGTCACTGTTCATTGCTTAACAGTTTGAAAGAAAAGGCTCTTGCCAGCCTTCGCTCAGAACTTCGGTCCTGTGATTAGATCAGGTGTATGCAATTGCTTCAAAATAGCTACAGAAACTAGAAACTGAGTTAAGTGTCAATCAGCTGTAATCTACTGATCTGATTAGAGGCCTTCACAAATGTTTGATGACGATTGCAAATAACAGCCAAGCAGATAGGAATGATGCAATAGCCAACAGTTTTGGGGTCAGCTCTTGTACAGGAATAGAGAAACAAGAACATCTGTAAATACGGTATTAAAAAGATTATAGTCCACAGCCAAAAAGGCAAGGATAGCAGTCGTACTTTTAAGGAGTGTGTCCATGTGGTTCCCTCCTGTGGTTCCTTGGGGTGCTGCTGAATGTGCTCCAGTGCTAGTTTATTGTAAGTCTCATTGATTTCAAAGACATAATAAAAAGCTGCAGCACTTGCTAGCAAATACAACCCCACACCAATCCAGCCCATCCTCTGGCGGAAGTTCATCATTCTCCATGCTCTGCACCTGTAACAAAATGAGAAGTATGAATTCAGTGCAGTTTGGAGAAAGGGGACACAGACAACGCTTGGTTTTCATAAACTAACGTTTCATAACTTTTCATGACACACAAATAAAAGCAATGCATGCACCCATTTCTACAGAGCCAAGTTTCTCTACAGCAGAGGAAAGCTGTATTCCTATGTCAGTAACAGCCTAATGGTAACTCCCATCAGAAGTTCTAACTAATTTAGAGCCTACAAGTTCTAAGAGGCTACAGGCAAGCAGTGGGTTAACAAAACCAATGCCCTGAATTGGGGAAGTCATTTACCCCATCTGCTCTCAGTGCCTCTAGCCACAGGGTGAGAAATGCAACACTTCCCATGAGTTGAGAGATATCAGAGAACTTTGGAAAATTCTAAGATGAAAGCAGCCAGCTAGTGACATGAGCAACACTGCTTGTTTGCAGTGCACCAACATCCAGTTTTATTAAGCTTTAGCTGAGTGTCTGTCGAGGAATCATACTTAAAAAGTTTTCAGTTCACACATGGGAAGATGCATACTAAGCATACATACTTGTACCTGCTGCACAACGAGGATATGTACGACTGCAGTACCTAGCAGTATTTCTGTTCTACTATGTGCGCAGTTACAGTAAATCTTCTGGAGGAAAGAAGGTGAACACACACATTCACCTGACTCAGTGCACAGTAAACTAGACAGCAGTCAACTGCCATTTTCTTCTCCTTCCCCTCCTCCCGAAAAAGCACAAATAACTGAAGCTCCACAGACACCACTGGGCTTGATTTTTATCTGCTGGCTGTACAGGTGTAAGTCACTTGAAGCCTTCTTCAAACAAGCCACCAGCACTCCCGCTGAAGGATCTCTATAGCATCAAGGAAGTCATCATCACCTTCCCTCAAAACAGCTCTTGGGCAGTTTTCATACTGTCAGGGTCCTATCCTTCCTAAGATTTCTAGGAGAGAAGTGGAATAAAACTTTGCAGTACTGTTTAAGCAAAACATACATAGGTTGTTTCAGAAATATTGCCTCGTGTTTATTTCCACGGAAACTACAACAGGTACAAAGAGCACAATAACACTATTTGATAGAGACATTCTCAGCTACTAAACACTATTTCTCAACATATTTTTGCCCAGAGAGGCTCTGAACGCCCTGTCCCTGTAGGTGTTCAAGGCCAGGTTGGACAGGGCCCTGGGCAGCCTGGTCTAGTAATAGATATGGAGGTTGGCTGCCCTGCCATTCTGTGATTCTATGTGATTCTGTGAACATGGGCACCACCACGAGCTGTGCATTTCATCAGTGTGAGCCTGCATGCCACATCTGTAACAGAAGTATACAAGAGTTTAACATCACTGACAGCAAACTAATTGCACCTTTTTAGATTCCCCCTATAAAGACCAGCAGCTGCAGCTGAGCACCAATTACAGAAGATTTTATGGTTTTCCACTTCTGAAGGACATCCTCAATCCTGACCTGACAGAACTTACCAGGGCAGCACTGGAGCAGTCCTTCTGTCCCTAACACTGCTACACGTAAGGAGACCAACGCAGCCAAACAGGCAGTGAGACACCAGAGAAAGCCACTAGTTAGGTGTGCGGCATTTGTTGTTTAAATTATAATTTCTATACATCTTAGCAGTACGTTGTCTTCAAATACACTCAGTTAACACTTTTATCAAGACAGCATGGAAATATTTAAGAAGCTGCCTGGGTAAGAATCAACTGGCAAGTGCCAGAGTCCACCTCAACGCTAAGCCGTGATTCCTTTTTCCAAAGCTAGGTGTATTACAGAACACTAACGGTACTCAGAAGTCTTCAAAAGGAAGGCGCATAGTAAAAGCACAAACACCGCTATAAGGGCAGTAATAGTAAGAAGCTCAGCAGGAGCCGATTCCCTTTGCTCTCACTACCCAGAAGCAGCCGGAGAAGCGCTGCGCCGGGTCAGGCTGAACGAGGCGTAGCCCGCGCCCGGTTTCTCCCCCGTTCTCCCTCCCGAGATGCCACTGCCGCTCGCGGCCTCTCCAGCCGTCCCGCCGACTGTCAGCCCCGCGTCGCGACCCGCGGAGCTACGAGACCCCCCCCCGGAGCGGCCATGACTGCGGCTCTCGTCCTTCCCGCGTGACCGCGAGCATTCGACCCGCGCCGCGCGGACGCGGCTCGGACGGCTTCCTGCGAGGGAGGCGGAGCCCCAACCTTCAGGCATAGCGGCGGGGCGACGGCCCCCTCACCGCGCCGAGTTCCGCCGTCCCAGAGCCAAAGCAGCCCCTTACCTTCCTCCGACGGAGAAGGAGGGAGCGGGAGGGCGGCGGTGGGCGGCCCGCTCCCCTCAGCCCGCGCCACCGCGCCGGGAGGCGGGAGGACTCGCCGGTCCGCGCCGCCGCTGCCGGTCCGCTGCCATCACCACCCCGGAACGGCACCACTTCCGGCATGAGGGAACGACTTCCGGTTGTCGTCCGACTGCATCCGGGACGTGGCGGGGCGTGCCCGCCGGGCGGCCGTTGGCTGGCGGCCATCTTGGCGAGAGCCCGCGCCTCTCTACGGCGCCGTTGACCTCGCCCAAAATGGCGGTCTGGGCTCGCCGTTGAGGCCGACCTTCCTTTGTCGTCCCTCAGTTACCGCCCCGAGCTTTACTTGTGTCACTTGGCCGCGCTAGCCAGGTGCGGTACGCCAAAGAAAGCAGCGATAGAGACGACCGTGGTGTGGAACAGTCTCTCCAGTGACACACATTGATGTGATTATACGAGTCCGTCTGTACGCAAAACCCGCTGCTTGTGGGTTGCTGTTGAGTTAAATTCTTACGAAAAAATGCCACAGGGAAAACATCTTCAACGAAGGCAGAAAATCATCTAAACCAGCCCCCCAAATTGCTGAGCCAGGTCTGCGTGGCTCACTGGTTTACATCACAGCAGTGTTGGGAAGGTTTGTGTAAGACATTCCAGCTTTGCATTCAGCAACCGTTTAGCACTTATTTCCTGTGCTGGGACTGGGAAGGTGCTGGTGAGGCTATATATAAAGCTACTGCAAAATTAAGTTTACGATGGTTTGTCATTCTGTTCTTGGTGTTTAAGTGAAAAGTGCTGGAAACCGGCGCTCCGGGTTCTATTCAGAACAGCTAATGACCAATGCGCGGTGCTGCGGTTGTCTCTGAGGAGAAAAAAAAAAAAAAAAAAAAAGACGACACCTGAGAACCCACAACAGTTAGTAAAGTTCTCAGGCGGTGCTTCCCTGCTTATTCAACGGCAGGTTCCAAGTCCATCTCCAGGCTCACTCTGAGGACCACCAGATGGCGCTCTGTACCACAGACAAAGGCAGCTTCTGTCTCCCGTCCCGACTCCCGATGCAGAAGAGATTTTGTACGTGCGTTGAGTGAGGATTTTCAACGTTGTTCACGAAATTTAAAGTTATAAACTGTGAATTGAGTTCCGGATAAAAATGTTGTAGACATGAGTAACTAAATACCATCAGGATGCTGTTTTTCATTAAATGCCATTCTTAACTTTCTTACTGGTAGTGACATCCCAGCTGATCCAGAATTAAAAAGTTTCCCAGGTGGCTCTAACCTTCTGTTTATGTATGGCTTTATTCCTGGTGTTACAGGTAGTGATGGAAAACTGAATAGCTGTGGCATCCTCTTTCCTTAAAAGTACTGATGGTGAAGGGAACAATTCATATTCTCCATATTAAAATGGGGACACATGCATAGTGAGACTCACATGGTTAATATTCAGGCTGTAAACAAGAGGAGAAGATAGAGGCCTGCTGAATCAAAAGGAATTAACTTTTAATGGCCAAGTTTATTTTTTTAAAAGTCCTTAATCATACATTAAAAAAAAAAAAAATCTGAGTTTTTACAGTCTTTATAATAACTCTCATGCCAAAACAGTTATAGAAAAATAAAGTTTACTTTGAAGGTAAATAAAAAAAGCATCGGGAAGCATTGAGAACTAGCTGATTCATAAAAGTCAGGAGCTAAATAGATAACAAAGCCAACACATCAGGGCCTCACTGCCAGAGTACCTCAGCAAAGCAAGCAGGGCAGGCTAGGTTCAGCCAAGGGTCTGGGTTACCCAGCAAGCAATGAAGTAGGTCTGAGGTTAATCTGGGAAGGCAGCCACTGGTTAGCCTCAGGTCCACTGAGGATAACTGCATTGAAACATAGTGATTACCAGGCAGATCCCTACTGATAAAAAAAACTGAAGTTAAGTTTGAAGGTTAGGCTGTAGGTCAAGATCGAGATTGAGAAGAGGGCCTGTGTCTAGGCACAGCCAGGGCTAAGCCAGAATCTGATACCCCTACAACATATCTTAGATATAGATTAAGCTGAGCCCACAGCTCAGCTTAAATGGGGCTCCTGAGCTCGTGGCTGGGGCAGGTGAGGCTTGCTGGGGGCTGTTAAAGCCTATCAGTTCACTTAGGACCCTGACAAATTATTTGGGACAATTGAGGGCTGATGGAAAGAAAACAGAGAAGTTGGTTATAATAGTTGCATTGAAACAGCGTTTTCATACTTAATTTAAATTAAGGCCTTCACTGGGCATTCATACGTAGGGCCACATTAATGACAAATATGTTTTTCTCAAAAAGTCATCTACCTTTCACTTTGTAGGATGCTGGTTTTTGATTCATTGAAAGAAAGTCTAAACCAGACTTTTCATTAGAGATTTGTGATCTCTGTGGAATCCAGCTATGTTGGGTGTCCAGAGAGAAAACTGGCATGATCCTATGCATCAGTCTTTGGAGAGCCTGCATAACCTTAGCCAAGAAGGTAAGGCTAGTTTTAGAGTAGGTCTAGGCTTCTGAGAAGCAAGGGATGAAGCACAGAGCTCTTTCCAAATGCACCCTTTTATGTAACAAAAAGAGTTAATACAGTGTTCATAAATAAAGAATATAAAGGTTTTTTAGTAAGTTTTGAGTAATGAACACACACAAAAAAGCTGCGTCTTAGTAAAAGAGAATGCTTTCTCTTTGGTTTTTTGCTTTTTTTTTAATTCTCAAAATTAAACTGTTTTTTTGTACTCAAAGTTCTATCAGTGAGTGAATGAATGCCAAGTTTTTGCAGCTTGCAGAGTATTTGTTGTCAGTTATGGGTAGTTGTATTGAATTTTATAGTGTCCTGCTGTGTTGCAATAACTTGTTTTGATCACTTACGCTGTTGTTTATTGAGAGACAAATCAATTTATGTCAGGTTCAGTATCATGTGGTTTATTTCACATTCTATGAATCTTCATTTTTTAGTTTATAGCTTTTATATCTTTTGAAAGTCTTCTGATTCCTTTTTTTTTATTATTCTTAAGTGTTTATTTTGCCTTTACTGTAGTCTTTCTTTGAACTTCTCTCTTGGAAACATCTGTTTTCATACTGGGTGTAGCACATTTTGGAAGCATGTAAGACTTGTGGATAAGCTGGCATTTTTGTATTTTATTCTCATTTTGAATTCAAACATTATTTGCTTGTTTTGGGTACACTGTTCATATGAAACACAGGTTTTCAGCAAACTGTATATAATCCAGGGTGATCCTTCCCTGCTTTGACTTTCTTCCTACACTTTGAAATGCTGGAACTTTCAATTACCTTCATTCTCTGTCCCTGAAATTCTTTATCTGTTTGCAGCAGACACATCTAAGTAAAGCTTCAGGCAATCCTATTGTCCAGGTTCTCTGAAATACCAGACATACTTTGTTCTTAGCTTTTCTAAAGTTATTCCAGAAATACTTACCAATAAACTCCAAAGGTTTGATATTTCCAAGCAGAATACCAGTATCATTTTCCCAGTCATTCACAAAAAACATTAATCAAATGCATTACAGACTATTACCCCTTATCAGAATGTCTCTAAAGAATTGTGCCTTTCTCCTTTAGATCTTTTATCACTGTAATCAAGTCTGAAAGTTCTAATCTTTGATATAACATTTGCTTTTACCTTTTATTTTCTGCAGTTACCAAGTATCTTGGAAGTTCAGCAAGAACTGACAAAACATAGGAAAATATCTATCAGAGGCAACTGGTGACTGAGTATTTATTTCTGTGGCAATTATTCAAGCAGAGGACAAATACAGCATACACAGAAGCAATGCAGGTGTAGATCTCACATCTGCATTGGTAGGATCTGGCATTGTATTGATTTAGTGGGAAAGAGAGAGCTAGCCTGCACAATTTTGGTCAGAACAGTTCTCAGTTAGAAACTACATTTCAGCAAAAGCATTATTCATTACAACCTGCTGACATTAATTAAATCTCCACAAATATTACTCAACAAAAATTCACTTCCAAGACTGCTATTAAACTGCTGAGAAATCAGAATCAGCCTGGCAGTGATTTCAGTGAGGGTCTGCTCACGCTGCCAGAAAGGAACAGTTATTGAATTTCCATGCTGAGTTTGCTGCTGCCAACAGGTTTGTTCATGTAAACAAGTTAACTGAAGAGTCACCCATGTTAGGAAGAAAAACAGATTTGAAACCAGGAATCTGGCAGACTAAAAATGTCAGCCTCTGCATTTGGCCTAAAAGACCAACCTCTCAACTATAATTGGACAAAAGTAGAGAAAATAATATTTATTAAAATAAATATTTCCTCTAAAGGTCACTAATTAAAAGTATGCACCATCCTTCCTCCTGTCTTCCATACACACATTCAAAGGTAAACGTCTGACCACTTGAGGGAGTGACAGCTCTATTCTTGTTAAAAGAGGTTGCAATTACACACCTTTCTTCCTCCCCCATATTTCTAGTAATTATCCTTTATTGCTGTTGTACTTTTGTGAAGGGCATCAATAACATAGCATGAGTTTGAAGAGATTTAAGTTGTCTCCTCTGAGATTCCCAGTTCCCAGGCTGTGCCTGTCCTGCTTAGACTGAACCACATGCAGCAGAGAGTATCTATGTTTAGATTCTTGTGAAGTATAACTTTTGTCACTATACTAATATCAGGTCAGATTTGTCCTTTTCCCACATTCACATTTTGTTTGCAAGAATCCCAGCTTGTTTGCATAGATAAAGATGTAAGCTTGGGGGGTGGTAGAAAAGGTATTCTTCGAGACTGAATCCAAGCTTCCATTTAAGGGGAGAAAAAAAAAAAAAAAAAAAAAAAGTGTTTTGCGTGTCTATGGTCTCTTTGGAACCTCTTTTTTTCTGTTTTCTAGAATAACTGGATCACCTAGCATCTACCTACTTCATTACATTTTATTACCAGGAGATCTCATACATCTTTATGTTTCTCAACAACAACTTTTATGTTTTATTTTTAAAATTGCTTTACATGCTCTTTGCTTATCCCTTAACCTCCCAGT